TTTTGTTCCATGTCAGGAATTGCTGTAGACTTTTGTAAACCAGATGGAAATATTTAAAAGGTCGAGCCATGTGTGATTGTGAGGAGAGTTTGAAAGAGGTGAAGCAACATTTGCAACCTGAGAAAACAAAAATGTGTTGATGGTCTACCAGGCACCATGAGGTAAATACAGTGCAAGTCAGTAAGGATGATTAAGGACGAGGGGGTATTGGGCACCTCGGTGGAGGAAGAATTTGATATCCTTGGCGGGTGAAAATTTAACTCCAAAACTGTCCCATGAAGAACCACGGTTTTGAAATCTTCGCATCAAACAGCAGTCAGTCAGGATTGGTTATAGCACTTCGTCATATCTTGCATTTCTGCTAGATAGTGGCGGTTGCCAAGATTCCTGCAACGGAGGCCACAAGTTACCGGCTGCTCTACACTTGAGTATGCTCCATTTTCCATTCGGTTTGCCCCCCCCCTCTCATTTGTGGACCGCTTCTTGACTGGGGTAGATTCCAGTCATTTTCAAGCTGTGCCTTCAAACTATTAGGAAGCGGATGTGGGTGGGCATTACTGTATGTGTACAAGGCTCAATATTGTCAAGTCACCCACACCTGGATCCACTGTGAGTAGGCCAGATGTGTGTAACAAGCTTGTACTATACATCAAGACCGGGCAGTGAAAAATAAAGCAACCAACTTTACTCTTTGCTGTATACCCTTACTCCAGAAACATCACTTCTTACTGAGATCATTTTTCCCAGGATGGACTCGAGTATGGATAACACATTCATACAGCATCTATGTCATGCAGATGGAGTCTGTTGATCATAATGAAATGCCTGGCCCCACAGATGGCTCAACTTTCATCCTGTTCCCCTCCACTTGTATGGTCTCATATAACAAAAACTGCTCTCTCTCCAAAACGCAGCTTGATGTAGTTAAACAAACCTCTCAGGCTTGTCATAGTATAGGACATCCTTAACCTGCTAACATTAGCTGGTCAATAAAAGTTAGCGATTCCTAAACCTAACTTGTCAAAAACCCTGTGTAAAAAAAAAAAGTGAGTTTTGATATCGAGAGTGAGAGTGCTGAGTGTGTTGTGATGTGTGTCGAGAGAGTGAGTGTGTGAAAGAGTGAGTGTTGTGTTTGATGATCTGTGAGAGTGTGAGAGTGTGAAGAGTGTGTGTCTGTGTGTGTGTGTGTGTGTGTGATGATAGTGCGTATTGATGAGTGAGTGTGAGAGTGAGAGAGCTGTGATGAGTAGTGAGTGTGAGACGAGTGTGAGAGAGTTCGTGAAGTGTGCAAGAGTGTTGAGAGCGAGAGAGTGAGGAGAGGAGTGAGAGAGAGTGTGAGAGGAGTGTGAGAGAGTGTGGAGTGTGGTGAGAGAGTATGTGCAAGAGAGTGTGAGTGATGAGAGAGTGTGATGAGGATTGTGACGTGTGAGAGGAGTGTGAGAGAGTGTGGAGAGTGTGAGAGTGTGAGAGAATGGTGTGAGAGAGTGTGAAGTGTGAGAGAGTGTGATGGAGAGGTGTGATGAGGAGTGTGAGAAGACGTGATGACGACGAGAGGACAGAGAGGAGATTTGATGACGCGAGGAGAGGGTGGAGAGAGACGAGAGGACGAAGCCGATGAGAGAGAAGACGAGAGTGATTCGTGTGAGGCAGTACTCAAAGGGTTGGAAAAAAAGGGGTTTTTAAAAGGAGGTTTTGTGGGCGAGGGGCTTGGACTTCCAGCAAGCGTGCATGAGCGTGTTAGATAGGAGTGAATGGAGACGAATGATACTTGGGACCTGACGATCGTTGGAGTGTGAGCAGGTAATATTTAGTGAAGGGATTCAGGGAAACCCGGTTATTTTCTATAGTCGGACTTGAGTCCTGGAAATGGGAAGTAAATGCCTGCACTTTAAAGGAGGGGTTTGGGATATTGGCAGTTTGGAGGGATATGTTGTGTATCTTTATTATATGCTTCTAAACTGTTGTATTCTGAGCCCCTCTGCAAAAGCAGTGATAATGTGTGAGTGTGGGGAAAGTGTTGAATGATGATGAAAGAAATTTTCTTTTTGGGGATTTTCTTTCTTTTTTGGGTCCCCTACCTCGGTGGGAGACGACCGACTTGTTGGGAAAAAAAAAAAAAAAAAAAAAAAATATTTTCCAGTCACCCTGCCTCAATGGGATACGGCTGGCCCTTGTTGGGGGCAAAAAAAAAAAAAAAAAAAAAAAAAAAATAAAAAAAAAAAAAAAAAAAAAAAAAAAAAAAAAAAAACTTATGAAATGATAGAGAATCTTTTTCCGAACGTAATAAAACCAAAAGTACAAATTTTATGGAAAACTTACAGGTTTATGCTTTCGCAAAGTTAAGAGGTTTTGGCAATATTTATGCATAGTGATTTTCGCTCACTCTGCGCCCTTGTTCCAGTGGACCAAACTCATAGCTATTTTGCTAGTTTTCCATCTATTCTATCAACTGAGCCCCAAGGAACTCCCCATTTACCTACTTCGATTACCCAATAAAGTGATTAAAAAATTGATAATTTGGCCAAATACAAAATTAAAAAATCTGCGAATTTAAGAATAGGGTCTAGAATAAACAATGCAGACATTCCTGGCACTAAAAAACATTTGCTCTGTTCCTTAATCACAAATTGCTTTCCAATTTGAATTTTTAGTCATATAAAAATAAAAGATTTACTATTATGCAGACTACTGCATTACTGTAATACTAATTGTATAAATAACATCAGCACATTCCTAAATGCATATTAGACTGGCAAGCTGCACGTGTATTGGCTAGTTCTTTGGATATAAAGTGAACAATGCATTTTTTCATAATGCTGTTTATCAGTGGAACTGATGTTAAGCTAGCCATGGGCTAATTTAACGTCATCCTCATCATGAGCTAATCTTTTTTTTTTAGGGACCAATGATTACTGCAGAGGCTTTGAACTTTTTTTATTTTAAGTTTTATAGTAAAGGGTCAAATGTCTTTAAAATTTTTTTTTCCCAAAAAATGGCAGTTATAGGCAGGGTAACCTTAAAAAAAAAATATCATACAAAATTTTATTTTTCCAAAGAGAAGGATAAAATTTGATACCTAAAGATATATTGGGAGTGGACGTGTCAGCAGATGGGTCTATGAAAGATGAGGTGAATATAGAATTGATGAGGGGAAAAGGGTGAGCGGTGCATTTAGGAGTCTGTGGAGACAAAGAACTTTGTCCTTGGAGGCAAAGAGGGGAATGAAATGCGAGTTTATTTTTTACCAACGCTCTTATATGGGTTGTAAGCATGGGTGATGAATGTTGCAGCGAGGAGAAGGCTGGAGGCAGTGGAGAGTCATGTTTGAGGGCAATGTGTGGTGTGAATATAATGCAGAGAATTTGTAGTTTGGAAGTTGGGAGAGGTGCGGGATTACCAAAACTGTTGTCCGAGGGCTGAGGAAGGGTTTTTGAGGTGGTTCGGACATGTAGAGAGAATGGAGCGAACAAAATGATTCAAGAGTGTATCAGTCTGTAGTGGAAGGAAGGCGGGGTAGGGGTCGGCCTAGGAAAGGTTGGAGGGAGGGGGTAAAGGGGGCTTTGTGTGCAAGGGGCTTGGACTTCCAGCAGGCATGCGTGAGCATGTTTGATAGAAGTAAATGGAGACAAAGGGTTTTAATACTTGACGTGCTGTTGGAGTGTGAGCAAAGTAACACTTATGAAGGGATTCAGGGAAACGGCAGGCCGGACTTGAGTCCTGGAGATGGGAAGTACAGTGCCTGCACTCTGAAGGAGGGGTGTTAATGTTGCATTTTAAAAAAACTGTAGTGTAAAGAACCCTTCTGGCAAGACAGTGATGGAGTGAATTTTGGTGAAAGTTTTTCTTTTTGGGGCCACCCCCCTTTGGTGGGAATCGGCCAGTGTGATGATAAAAAAAAAAAAAAATTATTGACTTATCAAAATGGTCACTTTATATTGGAGAAAGTCAGTGAAAAAGAAGCAGACTTACATGAAAAATTAGGAATAATAACTTGATAATGTTTAAAAATTAAGTGTAGCTAAGATATTTCACTTTTTGTTTTAACCCTTAAACGGTCCAAACAGATCGACGTTCAAATTCGTAGTGTACAAAAGTAGATCTACTTTTTTTTACATATTTTCAAATATAAAAAAAAAGAAAATGTAGATAAAAGTTTTTTTTACACGTTTTCAAATGTAAAACAAAAAAGAAGATCTACATTTTTTACATACTTTCAGATGTTGAAAAAAGTATATATACGTTTGGACCATTTAAAAGGGGTTAATCAATTAATTGTTCTGGGGATAATCCAAAAAGAAAAGCAAAGTATAAAGTGTATTAAAGTAAGTAGCAGCTTGTAAACTTACCCATCATCTAGCATGTTAATGAGAAAGAATATGCAAAACATTCAACTGACTTCCATTTCATTTTTTATGACAGGACTGCGTACCTCCCCAAATCCTGGGTCCATTCCACCCAATAAGCCTCTCCCCACTAAGTGATGTGCTCTTACCGACCACTCAGACTTAAAACCAGTTCTCCAACCAGGATGCAAAATCTAAGTAATGTATTTAGAGCTGCTTTCCTTTTTTATTACAGTAAACAGTACACTACTGTATAAACATTTAAAAATATTTCTAGGAATGTTATAAATGGTGCAAGGTGACATTAAAAAATATCTAAGATGGTTGACACAAATCCACTACAAGTATAGTATGCTCCTTTCTTAATGACCAATTTGCTTACCACCTACTCTTAGGAATGGAACCCAGTCCCTTAAGTGAGGAGAGGATGTATATAAAATCCCATTTCGCACCTTTCTTTGTGAACGAGGCGTAGTCCATATGTTTTTTGGGATCATTTTCTTTGTTTTTGTCATCATCATCATCATCGTCATCAAATCCTCATCCTTTTCTTTCTGCTTTGTATCTTCTTTCACTGCCACTTTTTCCTTTCTTTTCCTTCTACGGGACTTTTCTTCTGTTTGTGAGCGGTTCGTTTGGGAGGTTCCAGATTGATACCAGCTTCAGCAGTCCAGTCAGAATAATCTGTGGACTGCTCATCAGAACTTGATGATTCTTGCAGTTCCTCATTGACCACTTCTGAGCCTGAAGAACTTCCTGAGCTACTAGACTGACCACCATGGTCTCCATCCTGAAATAAAAGCATAATTAATAAATATTTCCAAAATGATTTTAACCTTTGTCTCACAGATCTATGTTATAATCACCCAGCCCTCAATTATGCTGTGATCAGTAAATTTTGGCCTAAGCATGAGAGAATGGGTACATGTGATGGGTGTGCACAGTATAAAAAAGATTCTGGTCATGCAGTGCACGATAGAACAGCTAACCTCTGAGCTCATTTGATTTAAAACAGCAACTTTGAGATGTTTTATGGCGCTTTTCGCAGGCTTATTGCTGCTTCTTGGTATTAAATTAACAGACTGGAAGATATACTAGCGAAAATATGATTTTGGTCTGTTTCAGGCCAGAAATGGCTTAAAAAGGGGTAATGGAGGAAATATTAAATTTTTGGGCAATTTTCCGAAGGAAGAGTAGGGGTTCTGCCATCCTCCTGGGTTTTTACTAGGTCTACTTCAATTGTACCCTCTTGCTAACAATTCAGTGCACAGATTATTTCACATGATTATTTAGTCTAAGGGACACATCAAACTAAATTAAATACACGTACAAAAGTATAGAAACCATACCACGGATGGGGATTAGAACCCGCGATCAGAGGTCTCAAAACTCCAGACCGTCGCGTTAGCCACTGGACCAGCTAGCCACAATAAGATTCGTCAACTAGGTTATTTCACTACACCATAGGAAGGTTACCTAGGCACCACTGTGACGGTTTTGAGGGGACTGGAGCTAGAGTTCGTCCTGGCCACGCTAGCTGGAGATTCGTCTGTAAAAACTTGTATTTGTGGTCACAATGGTGCCTGTGATAACCTTCTTATGGTGTAGAAATATACCTAGTTGGACGAATCTTATTGTGGCTAGCTGGTCCAGTGGCTAACGCGACGGTCTGGAGTTTTGAGACTCTCTGATCGCGGGTTCTATCCCTGTCCGTGGTATTGTTTGTTTGCAATCGTGTCATTACGATTTTGTAAGTCATAAAAGTATAGACTACTTAAAATTTTATTTTTATTTGTAGCTAAATTAATCCACTGTGCTTCAGACTATATATTACCTACTTACTTGTACTTGCAAACCAAACTGGGAAAGGCTAATAATTTGAACTAAAGAAAAACCAGAAACCAGTGTATCTAGGGAAATAAAAAAGATTTGGAACTATTTTTCACATTTTACCCTTGAATATTTATAGTTTAATGATAGCACCTTTCAAGGGCCAAATCTGCAATCTATACCATCTGTTAACCAAATATGCTTTAATAATAACCTCAGAATCCTGATGATCATAGGGCCTCTTTCTGTGTCTCTCACTGATCGGGTAGAATAAGAGTGAGTCTGTTTCTTTTGTTTCTTGCGTATTTTCTTTTCAGATTCATGATGTGGCTGAACTGGTGAACGCATTGGTTCTGGTTTTTTTTTACTTTCTTCTTCGTAAAATTGAAGTTCTATTTCTCCTAAACGTCTTCGTCTTTCTATAGACTGTTTAATGTCTTTAGAACCTCTGGGTTCG